CCAAAGGAATATGAAGCACTCTACTATAAAGACACATGCACACGTATGTTTATAGAAGTGCTATATTCAATAGCAAAGACATGAAACCAACCCACATGCCCATCGATGATAGTCTAGGTAAAGAAAATGTGGTAGATATACACCATGGAATACTACACAGCCATAAAAAGGAATGAGTTCATGTCCTTTGCAGAACCATGGATGAAGCTGGAAGTCATCATCCTCAGCAAATTAACATGGGAACAGAAAACCTAACGCCGCATTTTCTCACTCCTAAGTGGGAGTTGAACAATGAGAACACATGGACACTGTGAGAGGAACAACACACAGCAGGGCCTGTTGGGGAGTCAGGAGTGAGGGGAGGGAACTTAGAGGACGAGTGAATGGGTGTAGCAAACCACCGTGGCAGACTACACGTATGTAACAAGCCTGCACATTCTGCACATGTATCCTGGAACTTAAAGTAAAATAAAATAAATTAAATTTTAAAAAGTGCATATCTTATATGTACACATATGTTTATTGAAGCACTATTCACAATAGCAAAGACTTGGAATCAACCTAAATGCCCATAATGGTAGACTGGATAAAGAAACTGTGGCACATATACACTGTAGAATACTATACAACCATAAAAAGAATGAGATTATGTTCTTTGCAGGAACAGGGATGGAGTTGGAGGCCATTATTCTTAGCAAACTAACGCAGGGAGAGAAAACTGTATACTACATATTCTCACTTATAAATGGGAGCTAAATGATGAGAATACATGGGTGCATAGGGGGGAACAACACACACTGGGGTCCACTTGAGGGTGGAGGGTGGGAGGAGGGAGAGGATCAGGAAAAATAGCTAATGGGTACTAAGGCTTAATACTTGGGTGAGTACTAATGGGTATGGAAATAATCTGTACAACAAAACCCCATGACACAAGTTTACCTATATAACAAACCTGCACATGTGCCCCGTAACTAAAAATAAAAGTTAAATTAAAACAGACAAACAAACAAAGTGCATGTCTGGAAAGAGCATATGGTTGGATTCCATATTTTTTTAAACCAAGTCACACAATCTTTGCCCTTCATTAGAGTGTTGATTCATATAAGTTTTTGTCATTATTGATATGACAAGTTTTAGGTCTACCATGTTATTTTCCCAGTTCTGGTTTGTCTGTTCCTCTTCTCCTGACCCATGTCTTCTTATTAGAAACCATAGAAACAAAAGAAAGTAGAATAACGTCTTTAAAGTGCTGGAGGACAAAAAGGTTAACTAAGAATTCTATATCCAGCATAGATGTCCTTCAAGGATAGGCAAATAAGGAGATATTTCAGGT